TTTTCAGATACCTCTGTTTAGTCCAGTATTTAAACAGGGCCATCTGCTTCCTGCCACGACTCTTAGCTGAAACATAAGCTCGCTCGTGTTCCTGGGCCCACCCACTCTCATCTATCCCAGGCTAGGCTAGACTAAGACACTCACAAATCTGACTGTTGACCAGGGGCAACCTAGAGTAGCTTTGCAATTAATTTCCCATCTCTTCTTTTGCCTGACAAGACCTCCAACTCTATGGACCTGGCCTTCACTTTAACATCGTTCTTCCCTTACAGATAGAAGATTATCTTCTGTTTTGCACACAAATATCACTACTTGTCCCACCCACACTCTGTCCCTTGCTTTGCATTCTGTTTTCTTTCTCCTCCTAGAATGATGTTTTTTTCCTGTTTGCCTAAGCAACTCTTACTTCTTCAAACATAAGCTCTGCCATCCCTTTTTGTGGAGCTTCCAGTCCATTGTGATTGATAGCCCCCCACCCCATGAGTGTACTGTTATATTTTTATCCAACTTTGGCAAGGACCAGGAGACCAGTGCTTTCCTGCCTCCACTTAAAATTGAAACTATTTTTTCTTCCTTTTCCTCTGTTTCTTCCTCTCCCCTCTATATCATTCTCAAGTATACAAAAACTCAAATGGGGGCCTTTGACCCCCTTAATATTCATTCAGAAAATGATCACTAGTCAGTATGCGCAAGCCAGAGTCTAAGGACCAGTGACAGAAAGGCGACTTGGAAACCATATTCTCAGTAACTATGACTCTTGCAAAGGCAGGCTGGTCTCTTTCATGATATAGATGAGAATGGAAGTCTGTGGGGATAGCAAAGATATGTACAAAGATGTTAAGGCCTAGACAAATATTTGAAATTGATTTCTTAGCTGTCAGCTCTGAGAATTTCATGGGTGTTTTCAAGAGACTAGAGAATCAAGTAAGAAGAAGGTGTGAGCATTTTACTTAAAAAAATAAATTGAGCTCCGCACATGATGGCACATGGCTTTAATCCCACTCAGGAATCAGGGGCAATTCTCTGGTCTACATAGAGAATTTCAGGACAACACAGAAAATACCTTTCTTTCAAAATTCCAAAAATAAGTAAGTTGAGTTCTTCGTGTCTGAAGCCTGTCCCTTCTTTGCTCCCGTAAGTGTAAGATGGAGGTAGACACAGAAGCAGAGAACAAGCAGAAGCAGGCAGACCATCAGAGAGCGCAGGGAAATTGACAGTAACTAGTGATTTCATAATTCTGTTGCTTCCTAAATGAGAGATCTAACTGTGCAATAGTTCCACCTATTGTGGAGTAGTTTCTCCTTTAGTAAATACTTAACCCAGAGGGAGTAGGAATGGATGCAGAGTGGGGATGGGTACCATAGGCACCCTCACCCCATCTACTGCCTTCTGCTCTCAAATTACACATATGGTTTCAGTTTGTAAATCACTATGGTAATTGTGTGAAATAAATAACTTCTAGAGTTCAATGGAGAGGGAAATTTCTGATAATGAAAATGAATGATTGGGAACTGGGGGCTGAGTGTATTACTTACATTCAGAGAGCTATAAATAAATAAATAATATATGTGGGTATCTGTCCCTCCTCTTAGAGAAAAATAAATAAAAACTAAGAAATATAGAGAAATTCATTGATTCAAATAAGGTACTCAAAATAATAAAGATAGCCTTGAGACTAATCAGGGACCTTTGCCCTTCATACAGAACGATGCCACACACTTCAGATAAAACAAGCTAATGTTAAAAACATGCTTTAAAGGGAAATTTTAACAAGAAAAAAAACAAGTTCATCACAGGTTAGAGTTAAATATAAAACTAATGACTAAATTGGAGACAAACATGTTAAGAAATGGTTAACAATGTCTTGTCAGGTTGGCCAGGGCAGGATTAATGAAGGGAAAATCTTGCTCTCAGTACTTTAGCTGTAATCTTGATAAAGAAAGCCAACAGGGACTTTCACACAGCACCTTACAAGCCTGTGTTATCCTTGGGGCTTCTGCAGCCAATGAAAGTTTGTCACGATGATGTAATGCTCCTGAGTTCTGCTTCAGCCCCGAGTATGTGGTCACCGGGTCTCATGCCTGAGAGCTAGGTAAGTTTCTGAATCATATTTTCTTTCCAGCCTGTTCCCATGCGTAAACTAATTCCAGCAGAGAGATCGTTTGTTTCTGGTCTATTTTACTATCTCTGAACATTTTTTAAACGTGGGCTGGGTTATTATAGAATTGTAAAGACAGCTGGTAAACAAAATGATGGGATTTTAGAGTCAATTTTCATCCGTTATTAGTCTGAAGGCTTTTACTCCTCAGCAATTTGTCATCACTTCAGAGAAGAACAGCAATAGACACTGATGTTTTATTTGTTAAGGGGGCTTCAGTCATTTAGCAAACAAGTTTACTATAGAGATCTTTCCAGGGAGATGGAAGAGATCCTTTTGAAGGGTTGACACTGAATGTGGCTGATATCATTGCACTGTAAGCAATGGAGTAAAGTTTCAATATTTATTATAGACAGTACATAGATCTCACCCTTACAGAGTTTAAGCCTGTGAAAGAGAGACTATTTTTTTCAGTTTTTAAATAAGTTAAAAACAATTTGAAAATAAACTGAGTCTTTTGTGAGCCTTGGTGGCCTAGCAGATGAATGAAATTAAGTGGGGAAAGAAGTTAAATATAAGTAAATAATTCATTTATAATACAGGACATATATATATATGTATATATATATATGATAAAATGCCTGAGCAACTTTTAAACTTTGTATAGTATTTTTAAAACGTGAACTATATAACAAACACAACCAATGGAAATGCAGCTTTTTCTTTTCATTCCATGATGCTCTATAGATGGGAGGTTTTTAAAGTGTTATTAATATCAGTCAGGCCAGTGTCTCTCCTGGAAATATGGACTCCAGAAAACAATCACCCAGATAATACAGGATTGAGAAAGCAATGCCTTGGTGACCTCTTGTCATGACAGAAAGGATCAATGGGCAAAAGAAGGATGCTTAACTATGAATTCCCAGCCCTACTCATGGAAATACCTGGATTATACTCAAGTTTCATTATCACTAAGAATCAGAAATTCATCTACACTCAGAGTACGTGAAAATGTCTCCTGACATGACAAACAACACAAAATATCTACATGTTGGATAATTTTAACAAAAATGTGTGTTTTATAGACACTGATGTTAGTTTGGCACTAATACATGCTGTATCACTAAAAGCTTAAATTTCAGGCTTGAGGATTACTGTCCTCTGCTGAGTTAGTCAAGAACACATTGCTGTCTGCTTCATATATGTCCTTTCACTTTGTGCTAGAGTAGAGTTGGCCATTTCCCTCCCATGATTTCTAGATTGTTCCAAGCTACACTCTCCCTCATAAGAAACTAGTCTTCTGTCATTATGCTATGGTGAACACATTTTTCTCTCAAGTTAATAATCTCAATGCCAAGTAGTTTCTATTCTAAAATAAATCTTATTTAATTAAAAATATTAGTCAGCATAATGTAAATATGACTCATTTTCCTTTTATGACTGCAATTTTCCATATCGCTGCTCTAATGGAATGATTGGTCCTTGTAGAGCCTCAAATGATAAAACCACATTTCATAGCATCCTGCGCTCTGCTTTCCACTTCATGAGTTTTGAATGGGACAACATCACGTTGCAAGGAGGACCACAATGTCCTTGGATGAAGGGAATGAAGGGACTGTGCATTTGAATGGCTGATAGGAAAAGCATTTCCATCAATGGAAAATAGTGCAGAAAACGTTGGGAACCATGACAGCATCCCACGTTATTGGATGGCCCGCTTCTCTGATGCAGGTGTTATTTGTCCTAAGGTCCTTGATCTGCACTTGTGCCTTTATCACAGAGCTGTAGTGAGTCCATCTACTGTTCATTATACTTGGACTCCCAATGCCCACCATGCCCAGCAGGAAACAAAGGAGGGATGAGTCTGAAGTAAGCACAACTCATTAGTCTCTTGAGTTTTTCTTCAAATATGTCTGAGAGGCATATGTGTGTAGCTTTGCTTGATCTAAGAAGCCTCTTTGATCTTCAGTCTCAGATGCAGCTGTGTAGGAAAATTCAGGAAATCCAGTAAACAGTGCTCTTGAAGGCATCAGATAATGGTGGAGTGGAAGTCTAAAAGCATACCCTGACCCTGACCGGGACCCATTACAAATCCCTGTGACTAAGCCTGATGAGAGAGTGGGACCCAGAAAATGGATTCCAAGGCGCATATCTTTTAGCAATTGGCTTTAACAGTGGTCCTCAACCTGCGGACTGCAAACCCCAGAGGAGTCACATGTCGGGATATCAGATATTTACATTACTATTTATAAATGCAGCAAAATTACAGTTATGAAGTAGCACCAAAATCACTTTATCACTGTGATCACCACAACATGAGGAACTGTATTAAAGGACTTACTTCAGCTTTAGGAAGGATGAGAACCACTGGCTTAGAAAGTGACAGCCCAACTCAGTGGTTCTTGAAATCTGAAGGCTGTATCTCTCTGGAAGAGCAGCTAGAGACATGGATATTGACAAAACCCAAGAACATACGAAATGAGCTACTGGCTGATAATGATATATTGTAGTGACCTTCTACTTTTCATAAATAGATGCTCTGTGAAGACCCTTGATTTGTGTTGTTTAAAGATCTTTTAACAGATACCAGTCTTTTGAAATACATAAATATTTCACCTTTATGTTCACCAAAATGTCTTAAGTCACAGTATTTCCATAAACAGAAAAGTTGGAGGTCATTTAGATTTTTATCCATTTTACGATGCTGAGGTAACCATGCTGGCAACACCCTTAGAAGAAAACAATAGTAGGCAAATAAAAAAGTTCCCTACTGTGTCCCCTACTGTGATTTTTGGGGATAGCATACTTTTACACACATTGAAAAGTAGGGATGAGAGAAATTTAGTAGTTTAATTATTGCATTGAATGGTAAATCCGTAGTAATGGTTCATAAGTTACCTACCATGCCAAGAAGAGATGCTGGGGATATAGAGAAGAAGGTGGACTTTCACATTCTTTGAAGAACATTTGGTTTTCCTTAAATTGTCCAAGTCTGAGCAAGCTCGGTTATGAAAAATGATAGCAGAGCCACACACACCTTAGTTGGCAAGGATTGCCAAAGCCCACATCTCTTGTCCTGGTATAATTCAATACTACATCTGCTTCAAAAGTTCATTTGATGTTCACAAACTGGTAACCATGACTAGGTTGTCAATCCAAGTTAGCCTGGTATGGTGGCATATCCCAGCCATTCAGGAGGCTGAGGTAGTATATTTACAAGTTCAAGTCCTGTCTGCATGTCTCTCAAAGATGAATTTTGAAAGGAGATGGGGGCTTGTGTGTAGCTCAGAGGTAGAGTGCTTCCTTGGCATACATGAGGCTCTGGGTTCAAGCCACAATACTGAAAATGAACCGACTGATAGGAACGGATAACCATCAACCTAGGCAGGAAAATTATAGCAGTTCAATCCACAGCAGTAAACATGATCAATGGAGGAGAAAGGCCTTCTGATCCCCATTCTTTTAGAAGCAATACCATCATGTCCCGTGAGATCATTGTGCCCCCTGCTCCCTCTGCCGGGATACTCTGTGAATCAGCAAATTGAGGACTCCAGGTATTCAAAACCTTACAGGCATGTGCCCATTGACAAAGGGACACCCTACTGAGACTAAGGCCAGTTGAATACGATGAGAAGAGAAACAGCTGGAAGCTGGGCATTGTCCACCTAGCAAAGGCAACCGACAGTGCCAGCTACTGGGTCTACCAAAGAGACCCCAACATTGGCTGGCCCGTCATCCATGAGTCGCGTTCTTCAGCCTTCCTTTTTATTCTGTAAATGTCCTCATGGACTTTCTGTAAGAAACTAGCCAGAATTCAGTTTCTGCTGCTTCCGCTGAAGAGGCCACACTGAATCCACTGTCAGTAGCCTGTATTTCTTTCTGGAGGGAAAGAACTGAGGCACAGAAGGGTGGTGTGCCTTTCAGCACGTTCTTCCTCACTCTGCCCCTAACCCACTGATTTTTGTGATTAAACTGGTGATCTTTCTCCAGGGCATATTTCCCAGTCTTCCTTTACAAATACTCACCCAGAAATGGGTTTACTTTGTGAAAGATAATTACAGCTATAGCATTCAGGGGCTCCCCTTCTGCCACTGAGGGTCCAGCAATCCGGGATCTCTGTTTCCTGCCTTCTTACTTCTTAGGATGGTTCCCGTGTTGCAGAGGGCTGCAAAATAAACGGCTAAGATCGAATTTAAAACCCTCCAAATCAAATCAACCTTTACAGATACACCTTCCCTTGGAGGTTACCTGCCAGTGAAACAAACATGTGAGGGTGGCCAGAAGTCGGTCTTGATTTGGGCAAGGTTCTCCTTTAAACCGTTGGAGGCTTGCCTTTATGCTTTCGCAGTTGGATCAGGGTAGGAGGGGCCTGGAGGGCACTGGGCGGTCATCTCGCAGCTGCAGCACACCCTTGCTTCAGGTAGGGGGAACACAGGGAGGCTAAAAAGGAGAGCTAGGCTCCCCCTTGCTATTGGTTGGATTTCGATGCAGCGCGCACTCTCGAACGCCTGAAATATAGTCTGCAGAAGTCTCCACAGATGCTCCGAGCTGCAGTTCTGGAAAGGCAGGAACAAATTTAAACCGGGTTTTGTGAAAACAAATGACATCATTCCTACATAAACTCAAAAGCTTGCAGCCCGATGGGATACTTGCCCATTTTCTTCCTTTGCTCTTTCTGTGTCTTAACTGCAGGGGCCAGGGTTTTATGCTATTCGTTTCACTGACTAAATCTTTCAGAGAATAACCTTTCATCACCGGCATAGCAAAAAACAATAAAACCCAGGAACAAAATAGAGAGACATGTAAACATTCATTTAAAATCGCATTCAATCCACTGTGGCTGTTATCTGGAGGCATGACTGGGAGTGGGAGGAATTCCGGTGACTGGAAGGAGACAGTAGCAATCTGTGTGTTGGGGACCATCATCACTGAAACGCTGACACTGGGTTATTTTGAGTAGGCTTCATGGACTACGCTCACAACTGGGAATCCTTAGGGTTAAGATTTCCTTTTAGGGTTTTCTGGGTTCACATTATTAACTGCAAAAGTAACCAGGTACATAGTGTTCCTCACTTGAGAATCCTGCCAAAAATAAAAGTTAGGTTAGTTAACATGTTTATTTTTAACACAGCAGAGTTAACTGCATGAAAAAGCTCACTGTCATTTGGAAATACATGTGACAGTCAATCTGCAGCATTCCAAAACCTGATTGAGATTTTTCCTCTCAAGACATCATTGGTTTTATCCTTGTCCTAAGACACACGGTGGCCCAGGAAGCCCCCTGTTTGTTGGCAGGAACTTATCTGGAGAAGCATAGCAACTCTGAGGCTCAAAGCTTGCCTGAATTTTCAACCTCACTCCAGGAACCCACTAACGGGCTTCTCTATAAACCTCTATCCGGAGCTAAGTCTGAGATTTGCATTTCTTTATTGGACATGATTATTAAAAATCTTTTCAATCTTATTTTTCAATATCAATTGCATATAGCAAACAGAAGGTGAATCTCAAGTCACCAAAGATGAGTTTTATATAACAAGCAATGAGAAATGACGGGTCTAAGTTAAGGGCATGATGCCTCCTGCTTTTCAGGCGTTAAGGTGTTATGTTTAGAAAGGATGGTGGCCTTTATCTCTAAAGGAAGCCGTCTCAGCCAGAGTCTTAAGCAGAAACCAAGGAACAGGAGGATGTGTCTGCTGCCCCCCACCACCACCTTAAGCAGGAATTTTGCATATTTATTCTTGATTCCCCCTTCCCCACAGTCTCTTTGAACTTGGAGGCTGTAGTTAACAGTCCTGGTTGTATGCATGCCATTGTGAATTAAATACTGGCCACAGCGTAGACCTGAAGAAAGCCAAATGCCAGCGAATACAAACGATCTCTAAGGCAGAGGTGGACCTACTTGTCTGGAAGGGCAGCAGGTTTTTCAATTAGATAAATGTTTCATTGATATAATGATATGAAGCATGATTACATTTTGCTCATTACCTGCCTTTGCAACTGTTTCCTTTCATTCTAAAACATGTATATTTTAAGTGCTTGCACCATTGTCTTCATTCAGCTCTCTGTAGTGATTTCTATTTTGGAGAGGTACACAGTGGGCTTTTCTTACAGACATTTCTTTTCAGTAAGCATTCTGGGTCTGAGCTTTATACTCCCCAGCCTGGGTAAGGGAGAAACTGGAGATTTTCTGCGGGTGCTGATTTATTTCAGACTCTGGAATCCCACCTCCTCTTTCTTTCACTTTTGCTGAACAAAGACATGGAGGTAGGGATATGACATGTCCTGGCTACTGGGTCCCTCCTTTGGCCCAATTATACCTGAGCCTAAAATTAAGAAAAAAAAAAAAAAGAAAGAGAGAGAGACGGAGAGAGGAAAGAAAGAAGAAAGGAAGGAAGGAAGGAAGGAAGGAAGGAAGGAAGGAAGGAAGGAAGGAAGGAAGGAAGAGGACAGTTCCTCAGCTCTGCTCCTTGCTACATACCAGTCATGAAAGTTCAACACCCAAACCACCCATGTTATTTCTTTTACCAGTATAAACAGTCAGATAGTTTATTTTAAAGTGAAGTACTGGGAGGGGGGAGCAATGTTAAAAAAAAAACTGACATCCCTCTGGTTTTGACGATAATCGAATCATTAAAGACAAATTGAGGGGGATGGCTCCATGGGTACAGTGCTTGCCATGCAAACATGAGACCTGGGTTCCCTCTCCAGAACTCATGTAAACACAGACAAGTCAGGGTACCTGTAATTCCAGCACTGTGAAATTGCTAAAGGATCCATGGAGCTCCTTTAGCAAGGTTCAGTAACAGACCTTTTCACAAAAATCAAGTCCAGGCAACTTCCTATAAAATCTCACCAACATTCCTTCCATTTTCATTCACTCAGTTCTGCCAGACAAAATTTATTTGTCAGACGATCAAAGCGTGTGTCAACTTGAGGACCCTTGCATATGCCTAAAACAGAGTTCATCCAGGTGATGACATCTAAACTCCCAGGTTCCTTCAGCTGTTTTCAGTCAGTTCTTCTCAACATCATAGAACATAGCAGTCTTCATGATCAATTATCAATACTTGCTATTCCCCAATATTCTTGGTCTCTTTAGACTTCGATATTTATTCCAGAGCACATAAAAGCATCTAAAAGTCTAAGTATTTTGTTGATTTGCTGATTAGTATATTGTCTGTCTTCCCACTGGAAAGCAAGTTCTGTCCACAAGGTTGGCACAGATCATAGCTCCTTCCCCAGTGTCCACAGCAATGTTTACCACAAAGATGGGACTCAGCAAATATTTGTTGAATAATTATCCTCCAAATTTTAAATACTAAGGTAATTTTAGATTTCTAAAACCTCTTAATTTTTGTGTCTTCATAAAAAGATTGTATTTGACACCATTCCCAAATCTGAAATCAGCAAAATTGTAATTAGATATTTTTAACACTAAAATGTCAACTTTGAACTTTTTCATATTTAAAATAATTTGCTAATATGATGCTTTCTCACCATAAATCCTCTGATAATATACTTCGTTATTTTTCATACTGTCCTATTCTCTTATTTTTATCTACTTCCAATTGCCAGACTCCTCAGAATGAAATTCATATATCAACCCTGCTGTTAATTGAGCTTTTCATGGTTGTGGAGATAACCTAGACTGACATGTTACATGCAGAAACCAGTTGTCACATGTCCCATTAGAAGCATCACTAGTTCAGCTGAAGAAAGACATGCAAAAGAGCAAGTGTTATCTGCTCCATTTTGTAATCTACATCATTCTATGCGTCTAAGCCCGTGTTCCTTTCTTTTCATGGACACTATATTTATTACTCCCAGTATGTTTAGTGAAATTTTCTTATAAAGCATTCAGATACTACAAAAAACGGTGTGACATCTGAGCCTTAGAAGTGTAGAGAGAGAAAGACAGGTTTGTCAAGAATGCAATAGAACCAGAACATGCTAGCATATAGCCTTCTGCAATACTTCTGCTGCTACAGCAATAGACTGTTTAATTTAACCCCAAGTGACCACATGCAGAAGTACTTAAAATGCATGATTTCCACACAGTGACACAGGACCCTTGATAACTTGGTTGCTGAAATACCACAAATGTCTAAGTATATAAGACTTAAGTTTCCCATTTCTATCAGTGCCATTACTTGTGATGAGTTTATATTACTTGGAAATTAGCCATGTTAACTGTGAATAAAATATGAAATATGAAATGACTAGCTTACACAAAAACTCACCCAGCTTAAGTTTTAGAATGTGCTATGTAGAATGTTTTATTTTTAATTTTTTTCTTTATGTTTATATGGATCTGTCTGATTAGTGAGTCATATCAAAGTTTTCTTTATCTTTGATTATCTAGGATTCTTTACCACACTGCATATCCAGTCTGCACATGAATGCTACAATAGTGAGTAGGATGTTAGCCTCCTCCTAGCCACAACCTGTGGGAAGGGATGAGCCACAGATGCACACAGCTATGCAGCTCCTACACAGACATGTCTGTTTTGCATCTGTACAAATTTGCATTTGTACGTGCAGATACTGTGGGATTCTCCTTTTACAAAACAAACTGAAAACACAGCAACATCATTCTCTCTGGAGAGACAGGTTCCAGACTCTAGTAGCAAAGACACTGATTGCTTTTTAAACTCAGTGTTTATCTGTAGAGTATGTGCTCCTGTCTGGGTCTTAAGATATCCCTAGGAAATAATGTCCTATTTTCAAATAGTCTATCATATTCCAGATCTCATTATCTTCTATGTAAATCCTGAAGTTCTGTTGGAATGCTGGATACTTTTGGATTTGAGACATTTCCAAGATATTAATAAGAAAATACATGAATTTTTAATTCTGTAAAGAATGTAATGGGAATTTTGGCTATTAAATTGAACCTATAATTTGTAGGATGGTCATCTTCACAATATTAATTCTTCCAAACCATGAGCTATATACTATGTTATCTGTAAATGAAGATAATCTGAGTTCTTCTGCTGGCAGTGTGTGGGAGAGACTGTAAGAACCAGAGACCAGAAAATCTGTTTCTAGATAATATAGCCTGGGTATGGCAGGGAAAATGTACCCATGAAATTTAAAAATATGGTTTCCTAAACAAGATCAATATAATGCTGACACCAGTTGACATGCACACATGACAGGGAAATTGCACATGATCCCACCACTGGATGAAGAGCTACAAGTAACCAATGATTACTGAGAGGGGGATAATTAATTCTCTCTAGGGATAAGCTCCCACAAAGGATGACCAAAAACAGGTGGTTAATCCTGTACACATTTACATACATAGTAGCAAAGCTAAATGACTCAGTAGGTTATATATACATTTGTGCATATAAATACATATGTATATATAATAATTAAAGAAGAGACTGTGGTTTGGGGAGGGGGACATGGGAGGAGTTTTGAGGAGGGAGTGGAAGTGATGTGGATAACAGTGTAATAATGTACAAAGTTTTCATAAACTAAAATTTACCTCCACCAAAAATGGATGGATGAAAAATGAGTGAATTGTTCCAACCATATTTTTCCAGTGTTC